TCCCCAAAACCCTCTGCTATCGAGTGGATCCAGACTCCTGGCGACCCCACAGGAAAGAGCAGAACTGCCCCGTGGGTTCTCAGGCCCGTAACCCTTTACAGAAGTAGAAAGGGCTCCTCATCTTTCTTCCCCAGACAGATTTAGCCTCAGAAGCCCACAGGGGGCAGTTCTACTCCGTTCAGTGGGGTCACTACGAGTTGGTATCAACTCTGCAGCAGTGGTTTGGTTCTGGTTCACCCAGCGGCCGTCATTTGAAAAGATAAACTCAAGAACAGCCACTAGTCTATAAAAAGGATAAAACCGTAACCTGCTCTTAAAGACCGGCCCCCACCCCAACACAACCGTGAGAACTGTCCAGATGTCTAAACAATCGGGAACCCCACCTTAGGGAGGTCTGATGTGGTAACCCGAGGGCCCAACAGGCTGGCTTCCCCTCCGACCCCTGAGCGGCAGAGTGCAACAGCACCCAGCGCCACATCGTTTTCCCTCCTGCGCCCCTCGACTTCATCACCCCCCCACCCCACCCCCGTTGATGCTCTCCTCTGCCAACACGAGGCCCTCATCCGGGCACGGGTCCCTCTCGAGGGCAGTGAGTAGAACAGTCAGGTTTCCACGGGCTGGTTTCCAGCGCCAGATCACCACGCCTTTCTTCCTCCCACACTGACGTCACCCCGTTTCCCCAGGGGGACCCTGCTGGAGTGGGAAATACCAGTGGCTTAGCTTCCGGCATCCTAGCAACGAGCAAGCTCCGACCATCCGGCAAACGTGACAGTGGTAGCGAAGGGGTTCTGGAGAGTCTGCGCCACGAACTCTAACACACAACTCCGGAGAAGGGCCTTTTACTCAAGCGGGCTTTGTGGCACCCGCGAAGGGGCAGCGGCCACCACGTTTCGTTCCGGCTGACATTTGAGCCTTTCTGAAACACGCGCTTGTCGCCTGCAGTATCAGCTGACGCACAGGATGACGGTTACGGACAGCGTGGAGTTCCTAATTCAGTGCAGACAGAAATAGATCAGCCACCCACCACCTGTTCAGACTCACGATGGTGTTACCAAAAAAGCAGGGGAGACACGTAGGAAATACACTTCCCAGAAGCCTCCATTTCTACCTTCGCGATACCCATGCTCAACACCATGTGGATGGGAAGGGAGGACCACTGTTCCACACAAAGAATGGACCACCCCGGCCCTGATGACGATGGAGTCAACCCAATATTCTAAAAGTCCCACAGAAGGTATACATCCAAAAAGTTTAAGGGAAGGATA